CAACAATATTTTATAATTATTATATTATTTAAATAATAACAAATCAAAAATATTTTATAATATCATCTAATTTAAAATGTAATATTGACAACTGTAAGAAAAATAGTACACTACATGATTTATAATATAAAAATTAATAAATAAAATAAAAGATTTGGTTATCAATATGGGCATTATTAGAATGCGTACCAATTTTCTTTAATTTGTTAGGTTTCTAGAATAAATTAGTAGAAAAGATTGTTAGCAAAAAAGAGAGATTTCAAATGACCTCATTGTATGAAACCTATCTTTAAATTAATATTACTAAATTTATGTTAAAGACCATCATGTTATAAAAATAAAAAATATAATTAGACCATTTATTCCTAGGTTGTATTAAGAAATACTTTTTATTTTTTTGACAAGAAATACTTATTGTGTTATCTTTTATTTTTTTTTTACAAGAAAAATATGATACTTGTTGATTATCTTTTTTTTTTTTTTGACAAAAGAAGAAGATATTGTACTACATTTTTTTTGCTTGTTGTATTATTTTTTATTTATTTTTACAAGAAAAATAAAAAAATGATGCTGCCAAAGTACATTTTATTTTTGTATGCCTTTTGTTTTATTTTTTTGCAAGAAATACTTGTTATATTACCTTGTATTTTTTTTACAATAAAAATAAAAAAATGTTGTATTATATTTTTTATCATTATCTTGAAAAGCCTTTTATTTTTTATTTTTTCTATTTTTTTACAACAGTATTTTCTGCCTTTGTTTATTTTTGTTGTTAATTTTTTTTTATGCCTTTTGTTTTATTTTCTTACAAGAAATACTTTTTATATTACCTTGTATTTTTTTACAAGAAAAACAAAAAACTGTTGTATTATATTTTTTATCTTTATCTTGAAAAGCTTTTTATTTTTTATTTCTTAAGCTTTTTTTACAACAAGAAAAGATTTTTATTTTTTCTATTTTATTTCAATCTTTTTATTCATTATCTTGAAAGCTTTTTATTTTTTAGTTGTATTATATTTTTTATCTTTATCTTGAAAAGCTTTTTATTTTTTATTTCTTAAGCTTTTTTACAACAAGAAAAGATTTTTATTTTTTCTATTTTATTTCAATCTTTTTATTCATTATCTTGAAAGCTTTTTATTTTTTATCTTTATCTCTATTTTATCTTTATCTTAAAACAATTTTATTTTTTATCTTTATCTTAAAAAATGTTGTATTATAAACGACAATGCGCAACTCAAGACGCCAACCGAGAATTCAAGGTTGTCAACCAACACCACCACATCGCCTGATGTGATTCATTAGCTTCTATAATATAATACATATTCAATCATCTTGGTTGAATGATTTTTTGTGGGAATTATCTCACATCGAAGGATAAGCGACCATTTATTATCTATAAAGTGATGTGTACTAGTCAATCAGCCGTGTGTGTAGAAAAGCGAGGGGGGCATACGAGTGAGGTGAATTGCCACGTGTGGAGGATTTTTAGGTGCCACATGTTTCTCTCGTGAGGCGGCCACGTGTAAACCTAAAAATTTTCAGTGAGACTCCTGATTCACTATTGGGAATCCCCCGAATCGCCTGGTTCTCTCTGGACATGGGCGATTCCCGATTTTTTCGTAGAACCGGCTCGGTAGCCGACGATTCCCGAGTCGAACCGGGCGAGTCCGACTCGACTCGGTGAATTTTCAAACCCTGATTTTATGTGTTTCTCCCTCTCTTCTTCAGCTTAAAATATATCCATTGATTTTCTCTATCTTGATTTTCCCTATCAATTTTGTAATTTGCTTTTCTTAGAAAATAACAAGATAATCCTAATTCCAACATAGTTTATAAGAGAAAAAAAATGGGTGCGTATCTCTCTCCCCCTAAAATGAGAGAGTATGGCTTATATGATAGAGTCACCTTTCCTACAGTAACTATAGCATTAACGTTCTTTGATATAAATATAAGATAGCTAGATAGTGTAATGAGTCAGAATAAATGCCTGGACAAAGTGACAACGTTGGCTCGTTAAGGATTAGCCTCGTAAATGTGGACCCGCATTATCTTTTGTGATGCCTATTGATTGGTTGAATCTCATCATCTCCACCAACCTAAATTCGAATTTCCCGCGCCCATCCATCTCTCTAATGTATCAAATTCGAATTGATTGAAAAATCATTTGGAAGCTTGTGTGACCCACTTACTTTATTTATGGGGGTCTACCTGCCTGCTCTTCCCCTTACCTTACTTGATTCTATTTTGTCTTAATTTCTTGCCTAGGTTCTCACCCTTACTTCAGAAATAAACAGTTCCTGCGGAAAACTAGAGCTTTTCCAATAACATAATAATCATTTTCAACTCAATATTGCCATGTCACTAGTCGAATTTGTTGGGTTGGATTTTTTAAATATAAAAAATAAAAACTTAAAATTAGAAAATATTTCACAAAAAAAATTATCTCAACTTTACTTACCCGATCTAACCCATAAAAACTAATTGGTGCGATTGATTTTAACTAGTTTTCAACCAAAGTCTATTTTTACTTTGGACTAGACTAATTGAGGCACCAACAGTTGGACCCGTGAGTCTAGTGATCCCGTCTTGATAACGAAAGTCTCTCAAGAAAGAGAACCAATTGAAGTAGGGTAAGTGTTGAAAAGAATGAGTCGGGCGTACTAGTCGGTCATGGCCCGAGCCGATTACTGTCGAGTTTTACACTGAAAAATAATAGGGGTACAAAATCCCAAAAAAAAAAATTGTAAAAAATGTTTGAATTTTATATGTATTGTTTTTTTTATATTGTCCCTATTTTAGGTATAATTGAGTTTCGGACAATATTTTTAGGGACCTGAAACAATACTTTTTCAGTGAACTAGAAATGTTTTAAATTAAAAAGCTAATTTGAGAATAAAAGCAGCTTAATTTGATAATAAAAGCATATTTATATTTTTGTTTAAAATATTTAATTTAAAAAAAAAATAGAGAGAGAAACTAAGCGGAAGAGCAAAAGAGGGTCTGAAAGAGAAAGGGAAACCGAGAGAGGGAAACATAGAGAGGAAAAGAGAGAGAGAGGGAGGGGAAAATAGAAAGATAAAGGGAGAGAAAGAGAGAGGTTGGGGGCACCTTGCCCCAACCCAGGAGAGAGAGAGGGGTTGGGGTAGGCTCCTGACCCAACTGAGAGAGCGGGAGGTTGGGGCTGGCCCCTACCCCAAGAGAGAGAAATAGAGAGACAGAAAGAGGATGGGGCAGGTCCTTTCCCCAACAAAGAGAGGTAGGGGCACCTTGCCCTAACCCAAGAGAGAGAGGTCGGGGCAGGCCTTTTCCCCAACCAAAAGAGAGATGTTGTACTACAATAGTATAGAAATCTTTGGATTTTTTTTAGTAAATTACCAATTAATATACAAATTGGCCTATTTTTCTATAGATTGACCAATTTGTAGAGCCAATCGGCCGATTAGTATACTGTAAAAGAATGCTCCAATGCATGGCCTATAAAATTCAGCCGACTCGGGCTCAGCCAATGCCCGAGTCCAAATTAGTCGGCCAATTTTTGAAAAGCTGGCCGACTTTTCAAACAATAACTAAAGTAAACAATAAAAGTAAGGCGCACCTCCAAACTTTATCATAAGAAGCTAGTTTGGTGTAAAAAATTATTAGGATGACTTGAAAATCTATTTTCATCTCTAGTTATAAAATTGTAAACTCCAAAAATAGTTCAAATGAAGTTGATCTATAAATCCATAAATATTGATTTTTCTTTTAAAATATATATATATATATATATTAATAAAAAGCATCTAGACAACGTCTATAAATAAAAATGAAGGCTCATCCCCGTTTGTCAAAAATCGAGCAGCATACATTTTTTGGACCTACGGTAAAATCTTTGCTCATGGGATTGGGGGTAAGAAACTTGTCTCTCTCTGAAGATAATGTTAAAGGGCAGAAGCCTACACCGCTCACCCGCTCCTGTGTCTGACAGGCGTTACGTGTGGTTTCCATCAAAGTTCACGAAATGATGGTTTCCAGCTTTATGGTGTGTGAAGAGATCCACTTGGGTTTTGGGATTTCTTGTCAAATATGGGGAGTCCCCCGGACAATAAGACCCAAACCAAAGCCACCTATTTCCGATAACAAAGGACTTCGACAGTGACGTTCAAATTATATGAGAGAGAGGGAGGGAGGATTTTCCACTCTTCTCTTATCCAAAAAAAAAAAAAAAAAAAATTTTTGTAAAATCTTACCAAAATCAATTTTACCAAAAAAAAGCCCAATCCCTCTAATTATTTTTACGGAAAATTAGCTAAGGCCACAAAAACAAATTCAAAATACATAAGGATCTATATTTTTCCAAAAATTACACATAATAGTCTACTTATATATATAATTTTTCCAATTTGCCCCTCAATTAATATTGCCAATAAGTTTTATTTTACCTAGTGTTCCAAAAAACATTGGGCTTAGGTGGCCTGGTGGTCTAGGCTGCTCAGTGCTTAGGCGCCGAGTAGTCCAGATCGCCCAAATCCTAGTGGCCTTTCAGAAAGAACTTTATAATCTTTCAAAATCATAAAAATTTATGTTTTTTTTTTTTGCTTTCAAGTTTTTTTAAATCTAAAATGAGTTTTCATTAAATTTATTTTTGAAATAAACCTAAAACCCATTATTTTTATATATATATATTTTTAAAATAACTCAAAAACACTTTTCAACGAGAGGGATTTCCACCCTGCTGCCCGGGGCTCGGTAGCAGCGGCTTAAAAGCAAGCATCTTAAGCATGGGTGACGCGGCCAGGGGACCACCTCAACATTAAGGGTCCGCCTTTTGGAGCAATAATTGTACTTAGTTATTTTAGTTTTTGTTTTTTTGAATACTTATTTATTTTGTTTTTTTGTTTTTTTGAATGTAGAGTTGTGTCCTATGTTTTGTAGTACTTTGGAACCCGTCTAAAGGCCTAATTATTGGCCTAGTGAATTTAGGCCTTAGGCCACAATGATACCAGCCCAAAGACCTTAGACCACTCTATATGTGGCTTAGTGACGCATCTGAGGTCCTAAACCTCAGACTCCACACTAGATTGGGAGTTTCTAGACCGGTACCATATCTTCAACATCTGATTGCCCATTTTAAGGCAGTCCATTAATTCAGACAAGGAATAAATCCCTAAGTGCCCTAAAACAGAGGACACAGCCCTACCCTAAAAGAGAGGAAGAAACAAAATAAACAGGGAAAAACGAAAGAAAACCACGAGGATCGACCATATGCATAATTTTTTTAAAAAATAAGGATATCTATGTGCTTTCCATTTAGTTTTAGTGTCCATACATAATTTTCCTATTTTTGAATTTTTGGGTCTCTTTGCCCTGGCTTTTAAAAGCCAGGGTCTTACCCATGCTGGCATGAGCAGCACCCCAACTGCATTTATTTTGGCGTCACTTCCTCTTTCTATCTCTTCATTCAGCAGATTGAAAACAACCCAACAGAGAGAGTGGTGCCAGACCGCTTCAGCGCAAGCAAACACCACTCACCTCAGAGATCTAATATCCTGCACATCCTACACTTATGTGTATTGCACATTCTCCTTCCTCTCGCCCCTAGAGTCCATGGAATTCCATCCGGTGCTGACTTCTCAGATCGAGTTTCAGGTAAGACTCGACGAAGATCGGTTCTCATTCATGGACGCACACTGTTTTTTCTTTTTCTCTTGTCGTGACAGATGTGAATTCCTTTTTCCAGGCCTGGTTTAACAGAGATGGGGAATGTAGAGGCTCCGGCAGGTGTGTTAACCATCGGCCCCCTCCGATCCCTTGTTTCAGAGAGCCGAGAGCCGTTTCCCAACCCACCATCACCATTTCCAGCACTGCTTCTTCTCCTGGCTACTCCTTTAAAGGTATACTAACACACTTCAAAACACTTCCAACTACCATTCCTTAATCTCTGCCTGCCTCTCACACACACATTCTTCTTCAAATGTTGAGTTTTTCAGATCAGATTGATCCTTCAACTTACTCATTCTCGACTGCTCTGAAAGGTAAGCATGAGAGAGAGAGAGAGAGAGAGAGAGAGAGAGAGCTCAGTTGTGGTGGTGAATCTGGTTTTTCTTCAAAAACTTCACGTGTTTGGTGTGGTGGGATGGGCAGCACTACAGGTAAGGAGTGTTAGTGGCAGGAGGGAGCATTGCTTGGTGGCATTACAGGCAAAGTGGGATGAGGCAGAGAAATACATATGCAATCCTCTGTCAGGACAATTCCCTCCCCAATGCCTCTCTTCCTCCGCCAGCGGCCGATTGCTCATTCCCAACCATGTCATCGCAAAGTCCGCCCCGCTCTTCTTTGTCGATTCCCCCCTCCGGCTGCGAAGCACCATAAGAACATTGCTAGAGGAAGAGGCTCCAAGCACACCTTCTCAAGGTCCTTTAAAAACCCTCAACACCTCACAATAATTAGTATTTATTTCTTTTTTTTTTTTCTTTTGGGTAAATCATAAAGGGTAAGTCAGTTGAGACTGGGGGCTCCTACTCTTTGATAAGAATCATAGGACTAGTTGGTACTACAGCCAAAGCTTCAACCGATTCTTTTTTTTTTAAAAAAAACAGTATTTTTTTCAAAATTTGAAGCTGTAGTTCTCTCTCACATTAGGCTGTAGTTCTTTTTATTTAAATTTTAAAGCTTGCTTAACGCCAGAAACTCATTTTCTTCTTTCATGGTTTTCTTTTTATTTTTTTCTTTTTCTTTTGTGAAAACAAATGATCTACTTTTGATGTTGTGGGTGGTGAATTTAGAAGAGGAAGGAGCGAAGAAGGGAAGGGTGTCGAGGATGATGAGAGATGTTGGGACACAGAGTACCCCACCTGGCTCCAACTCTCCCCAAACTTCATTTTCAAGTTCGAGTCCGAGCCCAAGCCCAAGCCCAAGCCCGAGTGCAAGCAGAAGCCGAAGCCGAAGCCAAAGCCGAAGCCGAAGCCGAAGCCCAAGCCCAAGCCCAGTTGGTGTGACCCTTTCTTCCCGAGGCATGATATCTTCTCAGAGCGGCAAAGGCATAATGGGTTTGCTTTTTGCCAAGACGAAACCAAAGGAGGAGGTATGTTATCGAACCAACTTAGTAGCATACTACATCTCTATGTACTGTACAAATTTCAAACATCCCACCTCGTGGAATATCAACCGTTTGAAATAAACAACTGACGGTTGAGATAACGTTGCTCCTCCAATTAAGTCTGTCTTCCTCACCATTGCCGAGATTTGCTTTGCAGCCTTCCTTGGTTTGGTCGGTGGTCGGAAAAAGGAAGTACCTTGGTGCTTCTGTCGATCTCAGAAGGACTAGCGTTCTTTTTGTAACTTAAAATAAAGCATATATTTATTTATTTATTTTTTTTTCTCGAGACAAGAGACAAGCGTATAACGTTTTAAAATAGAATTTTTACTACATTTTCTATCGAAAAAGCGTGCAGGCTATGGAAATGTTCAAAGGCCGGGTCTGAGTAACTGATAAGCCGGGCAGTTCAACCACCCTATGTAAGCGGGCCTTAGGCGGTCCAAAAAGAGATAAAACAACAAAAAAGTACAAAAAATTCAAGAAAATAGAAAAAATAATTTAATGCACAATTAAATAAATCATATCCACATGAAGTTGAAAAGTAGTGGAAAACATAGATTCTAAAAAATCATTTTGTGCCCAAGAGTATTTTTTAATTATTTTTAAAAAAGATAGAAAAATGTTAAAAATAAGTATTCACACTTTTAAATCTTTGCCAAAATGATAAAAAAAACATTAAAAAACATATTATAAACAAATCCTTTATTTTTTGGAATTTTATATAATTTTTTTTACATTTTTTTTTTAAATACCCGGCTTGACCACCAGAGCTGACCAAAACCTGATCTGCCTGATTGCAGTTTGAACGGCCGGTTCCGAGTTGAACCGAGTTTGCAAACACTGGATCGACCATCAAAATTGATAAAACCATTATGGTTTCTAGCCAAATAGGACTTTCTAAATATTTAATAAAGAAGAATTTGTTATAATTTGAGCCACCAGAAAAGCACATACAAGTAGAGCATTTTTCACCATTTACAATTTTACAGTGCATTTATATAGACAGTAAATTGCAACAAAAAAAAGAAAATAAATATCGCCATTTACGCTGCTTATTTCCTATTTCTTTCACAAAATAAACTATGTTAACATTTAATTTTTTAAAAAATTACAAAGCCCATTAGAATAATAAGAAAAAAACAATATTAGGGCATTACTTTTTTGAGAGAGATCAAATAGTAGGGCACTGATTTTTTTAGATAAAGGAATTATTTATTTGTGGAGAGATGGATTGGCGTCACTAAGTATTTGTACTTTAGAAAAGGGTTTATGTCATGGTGGTAGCACCTCATGTTTAGTTACCATGTTTTGGTTTTCAATGTCATTGACACCCCTACTGATACCGTATAAAAAACGCTAACTCCAAAACCTAAATGAATAATGGGTAGGAGCCCGTTTTTTCCACTGGATTAACAAAATAAAACATAAAATTTTTAAAAAAAGAAAAAAAATAGAAAGAAAGAAAAACAAGAAGAGAAGCGAGTCTTTGCCTCTTTGGGTTTAGCACGCGTAACAGGAGAGAGCGAGAGATGAGGTGAAACGTAAAATGAAAAGTACAAACCCTATGTCAGTCTTGGCCTTTGTGTTCAAACCAAATAACTACAACTTTTTATAAATTTGAAATTCTGAAACATAATTAAAATGCTATTGTTCAATGCCCTTAGAAGGATTACAAAATTACAAATTTTAACCTTAAATACTGCAATCGAAATTCAATTTTTCGGTTGAATTTGCTCAAAATCTGGCACATTGAATTGGACCGATAGTTCGTGTAGTGCTTCATTTTGTTTTGATCTAGGCATAAAATCCAAAGACTTAAGCCTTCCGCTGAAACAAAGCAAAGATGACAACATTGGTCTTCTTTAAACTCAATGGAACGAACCATTCATTTGAAAACGGATAGTTGAAATTACATATGTCGTATGGTGCATTTCTTGTTATTGAAGTAGTATACAATGAGATCATTTATCTTTTAATACAAGGGGGTGACAATTACTTACAACCATCTCATGTGAAATATGATAGCCTGAGTGTATCACAAAGTTCGAGAAATTGTTTTTTGAAGATTAAGTTTGGTTAATGAAATAAATATAGCCATCTAATTTCACATCTAATGGTCAACATTAATTGTGAACACTTTGTACCAAAGATATATGGTCGCAAGGCATACTTTCCTTATTAATTTTATCTAGAAAAGACTATTTTATCTAAATGTAATGTAGTTTAGTTTGGATAATGTTATCCTATTAGCGGTTTGCTACGTATTATGCATCAATTACAATATTATTTACTTAACTTTTTCAGTGAGTTCCAACTGGTTCTAGCTAGAACTGTTTGGTTTTCAACGGCATATTATGAATAAATTTCGGTAAAAAATGAAACCTGATATGAAGAACTGCTTATAAGTTTATTACAGTTATTTTTATGATGGACACGGCAAACAACAGATAATTCATTATCAAGATCAATTTTATTGGAATATTGAATTATAAGCGACAACAAGAACGTCCAAAAACGCCATTTTTTTTACTTTATCTTTACTCATCCATAAAATCAAATGAAATTCAAAACCAACTCCCCTCATAGTTTGACTGTCACTCCGACAGTTAAGGGGAGATAGAGGTCTTGAGAGTTCCCAAACCCACTTCCTTTTTTTTTTATTTTCATGTTCCATAGGTGAAGCAGGTTGGGAAATTTTCAATTAAAAAATCCTTCTAGCTAGACCTATACCATGTGTGTTAAATGGTCTTATTGTATTGGACCACCCTACCAACCTTACTACCCTACCTTGCTGTGGCAATGGGCCTCGGTGGCCCGCCACTAGGGCCTGGGCCACAAAATGTGGCCTGGCCCAGTTCGGCCTTGGCCGGCCTTTATTTTTTTTATTCTCCTTTTACTTTGTTTTCCTTTTGTTTTCTTTTAATTTTACTTGGCCTGGATTGGCATTCAGGGGAATATGGCCAGGCTAGGGCCAAGGCTGGCCTGGCCCAAGCCTGACTTTTTGGCAATCCTAACCCTATCTACCCTTGTATGGCCATCCCAACCCTCTAGGTACCACAGCATTATAAGAGAAATAAAAAGGCGGAAGGGGACCGGGTAGTGCAGTCAACATTAAGAAAGAAAGGGTAGAAAGGCCGGCAGGGGGACCATACTATTATCTTATGGAATATGTAAAAACCATGGTCCTTTTAGGATCGTGTGGTCAAGGAAATTGAAGGGTGATGGAAAAGAAAGCGGGAGTGATCAATCAGCACAAAACCTTAGTGATGGGTCGCAATCTCACTTTCATTCCATCACATCCATCATTTCAATGGACCATGATGACTTAGCTGACTATATTCTTCTATGGTCCATTTCCGTCATATGTTTCAGCTTATTTTCTTGATTGATTGCTTTTGAGTTGATGTTTTTGTCAAAGGCTAATTATCTCTGTGTAATGCAGATTAAGAGTAAGGAAAAAAGAAAGAGAAGCAAAGAGAGAGGATGGGTGATGACGGGGAAATGCAAAGCAGGGGCATGCTTTTGGTGATGCAGTACAACTTTTGAAGTAGCCGAGATGATTAAAATTCAGTGAAAAGGGGACACGAAATAGTCTTATTTCATTTCTTTTTATTCCTTATATTTCATTCTCCCCCAAAAGGAAAAAGTTTATATAAGGATGCAACCTTATAATGTAGAAGTATGGACGCACCTCAAAAATCCATCGACAAAGGTAGTTTTAATGTTGAAAACCCCTTTGATTGTTCATCTTGACATCTACTTGACTTTCACCATTTTTGAAATTTAAAATTTTATAATTAGATATAAAAATAGATTTTGAGATAATCCTAAAAACATTTTGAATCAAAATTATATACCATAATAAAATTTGAAGGTGCACCTTACCTCTACTGCTACGGATGCATCTGTATGCCAACCACACCTAT